GAAATTCCGTAAAACTCGGCAACACGTCAAGTGTTGGATAAATTCCAAGAAGAGAGAATATCTCTCTGGACTGTCCGAACATGTATATAATAACCCTAAATTATTCTGGAGATTCTTTAAATGTAAATCCTCGAAATCTTCGATCCCTGACGTGAAGTTGGAAGGTCAGAAACTTTTCTCTGCAAAGGAAAAAGCGGATGGCTTTAACCAATTTTTTACGTCAGTCTTCACCTCCGACACAAGTTCTTCACCTCTTTACACCCCCTCTAGTTCAGCTTCTAACTCTCTTGACTCATTAAATGTATCTGAATCCGATGTTCAGTCTTTGTTGTCCAATTTGTCACCCTCTAAGGCTATTGGTCCAGATGGTATTCCAGCTTACCTTCTAAAGCGATGTTCTGAGGTAATTGCCCCTTCTTTGACTGCTCTCTTTGAGTTATCTCTTCAGCAGGGTGTTTTTCCTTCTGAATGGAAAGCTGCTAATGTCGTGCCTATACCCAAAAAGGGTGACACTCATGAGGTCACTAACTACAGATCAGTTTCCTTACTCTCTCAAGTCTCAAAAGTTCTCGAACGTTTAATTTTCAGGCAGGTTTCTTCTTTTGTTGAAAACTCCTTGTACGACCTTCAACACGGCTTTCGTTGTCAAAGGTCGTGTGTTACTCAACTTTTGAGTGTACTTCACGACCTTGGTCGTACTCTTGACTCTGGAAAGGAAACAGACCTGATTTATCTCGACTTTGCTAAAGCGTTTGACTCTGTGTCCCATAGCAAACTTTTGTTCAAACTCAAATCGTTTGGTATCTCAGGTCCACTTCTTAACTGGTTTGCTGATTACCTTCGTGATCGCAAACAGTGTGTTGTCGTTGAAGGAGCTTCCTCGTCTTTTCTTAATGTTACCTCTGGGGTGCCACAAGGTAGTGTAATAGGTCCACTTTTATTCATTCTTTATGTAAATGACCTTCCCGAGGTAACCAATAATAGTACCGTTGCACTTTTTGCTAATGACAGCAAGTGTTATCGTGCTATACGATCACCAGTTGATCGTGGTCTCCTTCAGCTTGACCTGGACGCTATGTCCAACTGGTCACTTAACTGGAAAATGAAATTTAATGTCTCGAAGACGCTCCTACTTAGGATATCCCGCAAACGTAACCCTCCAACTCATTGCTACTTTCTTAACAACGATCCAGTTAAGAGCATAGCTAACCAAGTAGACTTGGGTGTTGTTATCAGCAATGACCTAAAGTGGTCCCCTCACATCGCCAGCTGCACTGCAAAAGCCAATCGTATGCTTGGTTTTCTTCGTAGGAATTGTACGCAAATGCCTGATATTCGCTGGCGTAGGCTTCTTTATCTTGCTCTCGTCCGATCTCATCTGTCATATGGTAGTGAGATCTGGGCACCTCAAGGATCGTCACGTGATCTTGCGATCATCGAGGGTGTTCAAAGACGAGCTAGTAAATTTATCCTTCAGGATTATGAGTTGCCATATCCTGAACGCCTTAAAAAGCTTAATTTATTACCAATATCCTACTGGATGGAACTAAAGGATCTCGTCTTCTTTTTTAAATGTAAGCACGGTCTCTTCGACCTAGATATCTCCTCTTTCGTCACTTTTTCTTCAAACAGCTCGTCTCACACCCGTTCAAGTTCGGACAACTTGCTTCGTGTCAATCATTGCAGGACTTCTCTCTTTAGGAACTCTTTTTTCAACCGAATAGTCTTTCTCTGGAATAATCTCTCTCCTACCATTCGTAATAGTTCATCCGTTTCCTCCTTTAAAAACAGACTAACTGTTCATTACTCTTCTCTACTTCATTCATCTTTCGATGTAAACAGAATGCGCACTTGGAAAACCTCCTGTTCTAAGTGCCCCTCTCTTTCAACTTAAGCTGTTGTTCGTAATTCGTCATGTTTTCTGTAAATTTTATATTTGTTATCGTCTTTGATTTATGTTTGTTATAGTTTGTTTTCATTAAGGTTGGTCTTCATATGGGGCCATTCATGTCCTGTTGACCATACCTTCAACCATATTATGTAGTTTTTTTAGTCTATTTTATGTATGGTTGTAAAGTTAATAAATAAATAAATAAATATTTGAATAAACTGCGTCTCACTGAATGATACTGTGTTACTGACCGTTGTTTTATATCCACGAAATATCTTCTCCAAAAGTTAAACTTTGTAACAAGGAGCTCGAAGGTAAATCCTTCAAAAGCTTTGAGCAAATAATGCCAAAAAATTGCGCGTGATGCATAACTTATGCTCCTACTTGCTTTGTGATTGGCTGTTGGTTTTAGTTAGGATACATAAAAGCTTTTCATTGGCTAAAAGCGTTTCTTTCATTAATATTCACGTGAACACAATGCTGCTTCAAGAAAATAACCTTTGACCCACCAACAATACATGGAAATATGTTTGCGATGTTACTTTGAGTGCATATCCACACCGGGCGAGCTTGAAAAATATGCCCGGCCACGGTGGGATTCGAACCTACGACATTGGTATTGAAGGAACTAGATACTGTTCCGAAATATCACTTACTCGAACCGTCCTGACCGCGTAGCTCAGTTGGAAGAGCATTGGGCTAGTATTCCAAAGGTCGTAGGTTCGAATCCCACCGTGGCCGGGCATATTTTTCAAGCTTGCCCGGTGTGGATATGCACTCAGAGTAACATCGCAAACATATTATTCACCTGAGTACACAACACCAACACAGAAAATTCATATTACTAGAACACATTGGTATTGAAGGAACTAGATACTGTTCCGAAATATCACTTACTCGAACCGTCCTGACCGCGTAGCTCAGTTGGAAGAGCATTGGGCTAGTATTCCAAGGTCGTAGGTTCGAATCCCACCGTGGCCGGGCATATTTTTCAAGCTCGCCCGGTGTGGATATGCACTCAGAGTAACATCACAAACATATTATTCACCTGAGTACACAACACCAGCACAAGAAAAAATTCATATTACAAGAACACATTGGTATTGAAGGAACTAGATACTGTTCGGAAATATCACTTACTCGAACCGTCCTGACCGCGTAGCTCAGTTGGAAGAGCATTGGGCTAGTATTCCAAAGGTCGTAGGTTCGAATCCCACCGTGGCCGGGCATATTTTTCAAGCTCGCCCGGTGTGGATATGCACTCAGAGTAACATCACAAACATATGTATATAATACTTTTCTTAAAGGTCAACGTTTCATGGTTATAGACCCTTTTCATAAATGGCTGCCGATTAAAAATTCTTTTATGTGCATATAAATTGGCCCAACTAGCCTCGTTTCTGGGTAGAAATTCCTTTGAAATCTTAACATGAGTACGAGGCTAGTTGGGCCAATTTATATGCACATAAAAGAATTTTTAATCGGCAGCCATTTATGAAAAGGGTGTATAAGTTTCGACTTTCTGAGGACAACCTTAATTACGTCATGATCAATAATCGCTATACATATGTTCGCTACCTCATGCAAAACATACTAAATTTTCCATAGAAACCCGTCCGTTAAAGACAAGAAAAAATACTTACTAGTACCAGGGTCATCAGCTGCAACATTATGGCTTGTAGTGGGAGTAAATTCTGATATAGGTGGTATATCTTCCAGGGATACATACTCTCTTTCATTTGAATGCAGACCTTGTTGGGCTAAGAACGATGAATCTTCATGACTTTGTCGGGTTGAACTTTGGTCATTTTCTGGATTGCCTCCTTCAAACTCGCTTTCGTCTTTGTCAATTGAACCCATGTCATTTTGTTAGCAATTCTAATTGCTTATCTAGAAATTAAAATAGTCAATTTTTTCTTTTGCCTTCTCTTCAAATCAGCCCAGAATTTGGTTTAAAAGGTATTTCCATGCAAAAACTCGAATTTAAATTTCTTTGACAGCAGCCATGTCGCCACAATGAATAACTTTCGTTACTTTCATTGTATTCGCATTGACCAATCAAACCACGTTCAGAGCCTAAAGTATACCTCATGGGTACGAGGTTGAGGCGTGTGTGTTAAAATCAAAAGCCCTAAGGCGTGCGCTAGAGTAGTTTATGCAGTGCAGATTATTTTTCTTTTAATATGCCAATAACAAAATGCAGAATAACATAACAGAATAACCGCCCCCAAATGAGCGCTGCATTTGAGATCAATTTTTTTAAAAGAGCGCCGCCCCCGAATGAGCGCCGCACTAATTATTTTCAAAATCAAATGCGGCGCTTGATCGAAGCACCGTCAATATCGTGGAAGAATCCGTTTCAATGTGCCGAATTTACGTCTTCTGATGTCGAGGAGGCATATGCAACAATGGTTACGATGCAACAGTTGGGCTCGAATCGTGTAGAGATAGTGACATTGATATTTTCTAAACTTGTAAACAGTGTAAAAACTTTCCGCCGTCAGAATGGGGAACATTTAGTGATAAAGACGTTTAAAATTTAAAATTTGCTTATTTTATTGTTAAAAGTTTTTGTTATAATTCACAAATACAGTAAAATATTTTTTAAAAAGCGCCGCCCCCGATTGAGCGCCGCCCCCGAATGGATGGATGGATGGATGGACCAACTTTATTTAAAAACACGCTATGCTGGTTTCCAAAAGTTGTGTAGCTACTATGATAGAATAAATCCCTTCCTCCCCTCCATTACTACGCATTTCACTGATATGTGCACTCCGCATTTTTTTTTCGCTTCCGAACGGCGTTCGACGGTCGACGTTCGACGCAGGCCTGGTTACAAAATTTGGTGCTTTTTCAAGTTTGAATTTTCCGAAGTTAATATAAATCAATATAAATAGTCAATGTCTTGTCTTGAATGACAGAAGTATTGATGAAAACTTGAAAAGGCGCCAATTTTTGTAACCAGGCCTGCGTCGAACGTCGACCGTCGAACGCCGTTCGGAAGCGAAAAAAAAATGCGGAGTGCACATATCAGTGAAATGCGTAGTAATTACCTATGATGTAGTATTTAAAACACGAGAAGGAGTGTTTTATCATATTTAAAACGCGAGGCGCAGCCGAGCGTTTTAGATATGATAAAACGCGAGTTCGAGCGTTTTGAATGGCTTAAAATACGACTACAAAAGAAGAAGAAGAATAATTTATAGCAATAATTTATTTGGTTTACCACAAAAAAATACAAATACCAGAAAATCATACATATCACAAAAAAATAATTGTGGTGAGGAAGCCCATAAATAGAAACCATCAGGCTTGTATACTTTGGGCTACCTCATTGATTGGAATATTAGAATACCATTGAAATACTAATTAGGATGAACAATTATATAATCATACTAATCAGGATGAACAATTATATAAAGAATACTGATGAAGATGAGTTTTATTAGATATAAAGTCACTCCACGTGTGGCTGACATGATTTGCCACAAGGTTTATGAATTTTTAATGAGTATTTTAAGTATAAATATGAATTTGTTTACTAATAACTACTATAAATTAATAAAGAAATCTAAGAAATTACTATTATAATTTAAGCATGATTATTGCTAAATGAAAAGGTCGAGGAAGAAAGCTTTTCACAAAACGAAATATAAGATGCCGAAGTTCTTATGTCTTCCGGAATTTGATTCCATGCAGACATGGGCCCCATTGTAACTGAAACTTTTTTTAGATATTCTGTTCTATAGAACAGAATATCTAAAAAAAAAGTTTCAGTTACAATGGGGCTCATGTCTGCAATCAAATTGCGGAAGACATAAGAACTTCGGCGTCTTATATTTCGTTTTGTAGGCTTGGGAAGGGAAGCCTAGTTCCGAGGGTATGCCTGCTCATTTGTAGCAATATCCATTCTCCTGAATTTCATTCAATTTAAAACATCACATCTATTCAATTTAATATAAATACATATATTCATTCAATTTAATCCTGCAATATTCATTTAATTTAATCCTGTAATATACATTCAATTTAATCCTGCAATATTCATTCAATTTAATCCTGCAATATACGTTCAATTTAACCCTGCAATATTCATTCAATTTAATCCTGCAATATACGTTCAATTTAATCCTGTAATATACATTCAATTTAATCTTGCAATATTCATTCAATTTAATCCTGCAATATACATTCAATTTAATCCTGCAATATTCATTCAATTTAATCCTGCAATATACATTCAATTTAATCCTGCAATATTCATTCAATTTAATCCTGCAATATACATTCAATTTAATCCTGCAATATTCATTCAATTTAATCCTGCAATATACATTCAATCCTGCAACACTCGCTCAGAAAAAGACGTTGGCTCTCGGCAGTAAGTCGGCAAGCGAAATTTAATCGGAAAACTGAATATTAGAAAGCAATATATGGAAACATCGACTCTGGATTTCCCGCCATTTTTCTGGGAAACCATATTGCTTCAATTGCTTTGCATTTACGCAGTTAAATATATTAAAAAAATACATATTCATTTCCTCTATTCATTTTAAACTGAAAAGTGTTAAGTTTGGTTCTAGTAATTTTTATGGATTGGAGTGAAGAGTTAGGATTTGAGGAATTTTTCATACGTGTTTTGAATAGAACAGAAGAATTTGCTGAACGCATAGTTCGTAGTGACGACGAAGAATACAGGTCGAGTGTTCTTTCCCACGTTGATTTGCTTGAAAGAACGGCAATACTACCTGTCCAAATATCACAAGTGGTTTCAAATGAAGCTGACTTGCAGGTACTTGAAGGCTTACGAGCAGTTTTTGTTCAGCTGCTTGATTCATTTCTGAGACATTTCGGAAACAGTTCATCTCGCATAACACGTATTTCATTCATACCGCATCAAATAATACCGTCAGAAGGAGCAGGCAGACCTAGTGTTAATATACCATTTGAATTATTGGAAGACTTACGAGGTGTTGGTTTCGCCTGGGAACAAATTGCAAAAATGTTTCGTGTCTCCCGTTGGACAGTAATGCGCAGAGTACAATCATATGGATTGCAAGGCTTATCACGTTTTTCAAGTATTACCGACGAACAAATAGATGGTATCATCCATGCATATATAGGCAATCACGGCAGCACAACTGGAGAGTCATATATGCGTGGCCATTTTCGCGCCCTTGGTTACTATGTCCCTAGAAGAAGGGTAAGAGCTGGCATTAATAGAGTGGATCCAAGAAATACCGCGCTGAGGTGGGGTGCGCTAGTGTCAAGGAGAGTTTATTCTGTCCCATGGCCAAACTCACTTTGGCATCTTGATGGTCATCATTCCCTTATTCGCTGGGGATTAGTAATACATGGCTGTATTGATGGATACTCAAGAAGAATAATCTATCTTGTGTGTAGCAGTAACAATCTTGCTGAAACTGTTCTTCATCTGTTCGAAACCGCAATCGAACGGGACGATGGTTTGTGGCCATGGCAAGAATCAGAGTAGATTATGGAGTAGAAAACACAGCAGTTTGTGATGCAATGGTGGCAGTAAGAGGTGAAGGCCGTGGAAGTTTTATAGCTGGTTCTTCCCATAGAAATCAAAGAATCGAAAGGTTATGGCGAGATGTGTTTAGATGTGTTTGTCATCTTTATTACTATACATTCTACGCCCTTGAACAATCCGGTCAACTAGATGTAGAAAACCCGATTCACCTGTTCTGCCTACATTATGTTTTTTTACCCCGAATAAATGATGCGTTAAAAGAATGGATGTACAGTCACAACCACCACCCATTATCAACAGAGCGCAGCTGGTCACCGAATCAAATATGGTTAAATGGTATGCTAAATCCATGCAATCCCTTAGCTCAAGGAGAAGCAGATGACTATCCCGATGAACTTGGATCTTATGGTGATGATTCAGATTACTCTCCATTTGATGAATCAGATAATAATGTTCAAGTGTTTCCACCAAATGTTGGCGATAGAAATCAAGATTTGATAACGCAGTTGGAAAGAAATTTAAATCCGCTACAGGAATCCAATTCCTTTGGCATAGATATTTATAGTAATGCTCTGGAACTAGTAATAGCATTATTGCACAATGAAGCTTTGTAAAAATTGAACTTGACAATGTGTTTTGACAATGCTATGTTTACTTTAAACAGTAAGACCATTTGAGATAATTTAACGCTAATGACCAATAGTTTCATTTGATTAATAGGTAAGATATACAGTAAATTCCGCATGAATGAACCACTTAATGGATACTTAGCATCATGAACCTTCTATAATGGATACTTAGCATCAAATCAAGCTGAAGTGGTTCTTAATTCCGGCAAAAAAACCAATTTACTGTATCCCAGTTGAGAGTTTAAAACCTTTAATTATCCAAATTAAACGGCTTAAGTATTATTAACTGTAATTAAGCTACTGGACTATGTGGTTCAAAGTGAAAGACATGATTTCTGCTGGCTGAATTTATGTTGATTTCTTCCGACCTAAAGCGCCTATGACACGAAATTTCACCCCAAAGATTTATGGTTGCATTGTAAAGATCACTTAAAATGACTTAATAACTTCTTTTATAGAATTTTGGTAAGTTGCTCCCTTTTCAAGATACTCAACTTTGTTTCATATGCAAATATCACCGGTGTGACATCACATCACATAACGAGTTTTCGGAAAAGTATAGTTTTCTTGACGAATATACGTATATAAAAAACTTAAAAATTGCCCTTGTATATATGTATTAATTTCATAACTGGTAATTAACCCTTTGTATTTGTTTGTAAAAGTATTTTATCAAGACAAAGTTGAATATCTTGCAAAGGAAGCAAGTTACCAAAATTCTATAAAAGAATTTATTAAGTCATTTTAAGTGTTCTTTACAATGCAATCATACACATTTGGGGTGAAATTTCGTGTCATAGGCACTTTAAGTGCTTACGCATTCAGCTAAAAGTTAATTGGTTTTTTTTAAAGAAACAATTTTATTTTTTCAGCCTGTAGAATGTAGCGCGGTATTTTGGGTGGTTCATTCGCCAAATTTCAGGCTGGTGAGCAGTGGTTCTTGACCCACTGCTTCTTTTATGCAGAATTTTACTGTACAATAGATAATACTATTAGAGAAAATCTGTCAACGTCTTTGCGTCAAAAAATATAGTAAACAAGAATTGAAGAAAGAAAAAATACGAACTACAACATTGCGCAAACCGCTGCTCTTTAAACTCAACACAGCTATGCATTTCCATATATACGTGTGTCCTTGAATGCCAATTTACCACCCAGCAAAAAATATGAAAGACTTAAAGTATAGTCAAGACTCGAAAGTATATATCAATAAATTTCGAATGAACTGCGTTTAATATGCGGCTATGGGTTGCCAAAGTGATTGTTCTTGAATGCCAAATCATATTTCTCAAATAGTTCTTCGTCTGTGGGTAAAGATAAAACCATGTTCGGACGAGGTAGATTCAACGAATTGGAACATGTATTTGCCTTTGGAATAAAATCAGGTCTGCCGTTTCTTTTGTCAACATCCTATAAAAACACAGACACAGTATAAATTAACGAGTAACATTGTGGTGGCTAGCATATAGAATTCGAATAGTCACTAATTCTATCGAAACCTTGTCATCCAGAGCTTGTTCCTTGCTTTCTATTTCTGGAAGTGAAACCTCATGAAATGATATAAATGGTTGCTTTCCAAATCCCAAGATTGGAATCTCATCCGCACATGTGACAAAAATAAGAATATCTTCAAGCGTTGCAATACGACGACCAGCAGCTGCCTCTCTTACGTACTTAATGAATTTGTTATAAACCATTTTTTCGAATTGTAGCTTGTTGGTGCCCTCCTCTGAGAATTGGGGTTGCAACAACTGAATAAGACCTCTGACAGTAAGCCTCTCCTGATGATAACGAAAAATACTGATGAACTGGTTGAAATGTTGAGCAAATTCGTATACTCCCAACCGATCCAAACCACGTCGAAATTCCAAAACACACTCGGAGGCGCAAGGGCCATTCTGTACAAAGATCTGATCAAGTTGTTCTTCTGAAAAGTAGCGAGGAACTGGGCCATTTTGTATTAGAGAAATAGCAGCAATCATTCCAGCATAGTAATAATCTGAAGCAAGGTGATTTTTCAGCCCATTATCGAAGTATTTCTCCTTAATCTATGAATAAAACAAAACAATTGGAATGATAACTATAAAGTCCATGAAGCAGCTTTCAAAGAACCTACAATTATAGGAGTATAATCTTAGTAATAGAACATTTACCAACAAGTGATCACTTTATTTATGACCCATTTATATTTTCATGTTTTAACATTTTCAACATGCACTCTTTCTAATTTACACAGCTAACATTGCATGCTTTTAATTATTGTTAAGTTTGTTTTTAAAATGCTTTTAAAACATTTACACTTGCTGTTTTCAACTGCCTTTTTTGGTTGCTACCTGTTGCATTGGCGTGCATAGCGCTGACAACAGTAATGCAAGTCATGACTAATTTGCCAAAAATAAAATATAACCTTCCTTCCATTTTTACAAAATATGGCTTTTGGTTGCTCTGAATATTCTAAATGTTCCTTTTCTTGCCAAAACACGTAAATTAAGAATAAATCAACACCAAAATAAATTCTTGAACAACACTTTTGCATGAATTATTCCATGTAGATCATAGACGAATTTTCATATTATTTTTTACTGGGGTGGTGCCAGCAATTTTAGGGGGGTGAGCCGTGAGCAGGTGACTGAAGCAACACAAAGAGTCACCAAACCCCAGTAAGGTCTATATTCTAGGAGTGGAGCACTAGAGCCGCGAGGGGGAGGCTAGAGAGCAGAAAACAAAGTGTCCCAGGAAACATTTGAAAAAAATCATGATTTCTAGCTTCGAAAAAAAGTTTTTTGAAGTTGTCATATCAACGGGTTTGGCATGTCCGATTGTCTGTTGAGACTTGAGAGAGTTAAAGACTTAAAGTTAAATGAACCTGTAAAAGTGTAAACCCAATACACAATATGCTTTTTATTGTATTTGTATAAGTCATTGACATTGTGTTGTTTGAATCCGAGTACAATTTATTATGCAACTTGAAATACTAGTATGAACTAGCATACTGTACGGTACATAATTGATATACAGCATACGGTATTTTGCGCGTTATCCGCTTGCGCCGGTGGCACTAGTGCACTACATCTTATGTGGTGATAATTAGATTGTTATTGTACAAACAACAGTGTAGCAACGTCAACAACCTGCCTAGAAAGTAGAAACGTCATCACGCAACCATTGCAACAAATGTGATAATTATTTGCATTGAACAATCTCCCGAATCCGATGTAAATAATATTTGGGGCGTAAAGATTAAATCTAGGCAAGTCTATTTCCTAAAAACTAAAAATAATGTTCGTAAAAATTCCAAACGTTCCTTGCGTGCAAGCTATTCGCATGACAAGGTACTGCAAACTCTATTCAGGGAAATAATAGAGTTTCAAAACTTTACAATCGCTTCAATAAAGCAGTGAATGCAAGCCAGGAGCGATTAGTTTCAGAGTGTTGCACTGCAGTGGCAGAAATCTTGGTGAGGCGGGGGGGGGGGGGGGGGCTACCACCACCTTCACGGAAAATTGACGAATTTTCGGAAATTTTGACCTAAAAGAGGGCTAAAAACAGTCTTTTCGAGTGCAAATGGGGGGGGGGGGGAATTTGAAAGTATTGTCGGAAATTTAGGAGGCTTTGCCCCCCCCACCAGAAAAAGTTATTTTCCGCCACTGTTGCACTGTTGTCCTTTTCTGTTCAAGTGCACGCCTACGTATGTGTTTTTCTGTGGTTTTTAATTGCATTCCATTGCATGTTCCGTAATAAAATACAACCACAACTCTTGCACTTGTAGAGGAATCTGGTGAGATGAAATAAAGTCACAGCCCTATGCTTTAGTTACCCTTAAAGGTCCTGTTACACGGTGCAATTTTTCATGCAACTTGTCTCGCAATGTTTAAAAAAGATTTTGATAATGCATTGCACGAGGTGTTACACGCTGCAATGATTTTCATGCAACTCGCAATGATAGGGGACAGAGGCATGCGAAGAGACTAGGGAGAGGCACTATTTGGCGCCAAATTTTAATTAAAGTAAAGCGTGTACTGGGGAGAGCCAATAGGAACTCTCCAAGCAGTGGCATAACGTTATATCAGGGGGCCCCTGGTTCAAAATTTTCGAAGCCCCCCCCCCCCAGAAGTACCAAAGGCACGAGTTGAGCGTCGTATATGCACAAGTTTTCTAGGGGTCCAGGGCATGCTCGCCCAGAAAATTTTTGAATCTAGACTCTCTGAAATGCCATTTCCCGGACTTTGGGGAGAGATTTTACAGAATTCTGATGGTCAGAAAACGACATTGTGACATATCAGAGGCCCTAGCCAATGTTTTTACTCTACAGCCTGACAGCCTGGGGGCCCCCATTTAGCCCATTGGGGTTGGGGGCCCCCGGGTTCGCCTAGTCCGAGCCCATAGTAGTTACGCCACTGTCTCCAAGCTATAAACCTTGCAAGACAAGTTGCACGAAGCCATGTTACACGCTGCAATGCTAAAAATAATTAGTGCAATCATTGCCAAAAGTATAACCGACTTCTACTCTGTGCAATGCTTCATGTAACTTGTCTCGCAAAGATTTTGACCATTGCAAGGCATGTTAAACAGTGCAATGACAACGATGCAATGCCATTGCGAGACAAGTGGCATGAAAAATTGCACCGTGTGACAGGGCCTTAAGTCTTGGAGTTGAGATGGTTTATGAAAGGAGTGAGTGTGCAATAGTTACCAACCTTTTGGCAAAGATCATTTGAATGTTTGAAAAGGTGTGAAGGACATACTCTATTGGAATTGGAATCATATGTTCTTCCATATTTTTGCCTTATTATGTGTAAATTTGGATATCGCAATTGATTTGGATAAATCAAGGAATAACTATAAAATACCCTGCAAATGAGATCCATATAGTCAATCTTTTGAAGAATGACACATACACACAATAAAAACACTAAAGGATAAATATATTGAATGTCGCTTGCAGGGTATTCTATATGTTATACATAAGGCAAAAAAATGTGGGTTTCCGGATTCCAGACCCTACCTAGCTTTTGGACGTCGAAATCCTGACCCTAAACTTTTTTATTGGATCATGCTTGTAAGGGTTTCCACTTAGAGGAAAAAGTTTGTGGAAAATCGAAATTTGAGGCAATATTAGAGAAATTTATCTTTGGATGTGGAAGCATTGACTAAACAAAATGGCGTACGGTTGTTAGGAAAATTGAAAAAAAAGTTTAAAAAAAAAGTTAAAACCGACCTACCCTACCTAAGTTTTTATAAGAAGAACCCGGAAACCCACATTTTTTTTCTTCCTAAATCAATTCACAAAGCAAGCGCCAAGGTTATTTTGAAGGAAAATATTGATCTGACAAATGAAATATTCTGCCACAGGGCCACCTATACCAGCCAAATCCTAGCTATGGCACAGACCTATAGCTAAGCCGATGTAATTTTCTGGGGGGGGGGTGCACCCCCCCCCCCCAAAGGCATTTGACACACACCCAAATTACATCTATTTTGATTTGATAGTTTCATATTTGATTATTCTTACTACTAAATTTGTAAATTACCAATATTATGGTCTCAGATCTCGCCATGCAGGCCTAGAAAACAAATTTTGTTAAACTTTTTCCTTGGCTTTTCCGGGCGTTGCCACCACGCCCCGGCCAAAGCAACCCCCCCCCCCCCCCAGATATTTATCCACCCCCCGAACGAAAATATGAAAATCCGTCTCTGGGTTCGATTCCTGCCAGAGGGTCTATAGTTGCATATTTCGCTCCTGGCTTGGTCTAATAAATGTATAAAATTCACTCTCGAAATTTCCACCTACAAAACCTATCTACAATTTGATTAGACTTGCAACTCTCATTAACTTTGAGCTGCTTCACATTTTGATGAGAGTTTTTCCAAGGTGCGGCAATATGTGGTCAACCCTCATGCAATTCTCGTTCTTGTTTGACCAGGACACGAGAATTGAGAAAACTCTCATGCAAATTCACGCTTGCCAGATCGCACAAACTCTCATCCTCGTTTAACCAGAACAGTATATATAAAGTTTCTGAAACGTTCTCTGATTGCAAAATTTATTTAAACACTCCTGGTCGCGCATCTAGCATTTTTAGTTATATTCAGTTCCTTGTTATACGTACCACTAAAGCAGTGTCTGTAAACTTTATTATCTTGTACTTCGTGTGTTTCTAAAGCAATCCCTGCATCTTTATCTTGCATCGCTTGTACTAGTTCACTAAAACCAAACTAGTTCAACTCAACAACTTCAAATGACACAGAATTTATGATTGTTAGTCATAAACGTTACTTGATTTAGAGTGTAATAATTTATACTCAAAATGTTCATTTTGGGTATGTTTGTTTCGTAAAAAGTTTTTTTGTTTTTTTAATTTACATGCACTATGCAGGAGTGAGTACGTGACGTGTAGAGTGCACAGAATCCCACGTAAAGAATGAAGGATCAAGAAAACTCTCATTTTGCGGTTGATGTCCAATAAAAATGCCAACCTCGTTCCCATGTAAAAATGCAAGCAATATGGCAATGTCAAAACAAACGTTTTGTAGTGAAAACTTACGCAAAGCTTGGTAAAGGCAGTTTCACTGTGAGTTCGGAACTCTCTTCAATTTGATGAATGTTTTCATTACTTTTTGACTTTCGTTCTGACTAGAAAAATATTAAATGTTGATGATATTTCAGTAGCCTTACAGTGAATAGCACACAACCGTAACACCAACCTCGTACCCACACAGGACTTTTAATCTGCGCTCATGTATCTAATTACAGAGTAGAGTAGTGTGATAAAATCTCATTTCAGATCAAAAACAATTCGTGGAAGAACGTACGAGTAATAAGATTTTAGACTTCACACATTCCATCTAATTAGCATAGGTGGTAGCAAATCGACGTACGGACGTAGACGTCAGTGTATCTGGTTGTGGAAACACGGCCACGCAGATACCGACATAAAAACGTGGACATGGAAACTTCAACTGTAACGTATGATATTGGGCGTGTCGGACATAGCTTGAATAAAAGCAGATTAGAGACCTGGGCACGATGTTGTGTGTCCAAAACAAATTGGAACTTTTCCCAGGCCAATAGACGGAAAAACATGTGCCCTAACCGGGAAAAACATTGGCTGACGAGAAATGTTCCTCAGAGTTTCATATTCATCACGGCGGCCAATGCCTTCAGTGTAGGACTATTTTAAGTGTGGTCTAAATCTTAAATAGTTCAATTAAGCGTTTTGAAGCAACTATAATTAAAGTGTAATCGAATGATTCTAAGAAAAGTTCATATGTTAGAAAAGAACATGTAAGTGAGAAGGTAAATACTCTAGTTAAAACAATGTATTTACACCATGCAGTGCCATTTCTTTAAACCGACAATGTTCGACGGTCAAGAGTTAAGGATGCGGTACAATCCGTTCTGCGCATGCGTACATTTGAGTCTCCAGCTCGTGATACAAACGTAGGTTCTGTTCTTTCAAAGCCTGAGCCCACTACCTTGACAATGTAAGATTAGCGGTGACTGTACCGCATCGTTAACAGTATTCAAATTTACCCTTTCTTTAGATTCTGTTTCTCGTATCACAGAAGCAATACTAGCAGACCAAAGTTGTAGTTCTCCCTCGCTTGCAGCTTGTATTAAATATTCTCGGCCATTACTACTTATCAATCTAAACACAAACTAAAAAGTTCCAATAATTATAAGCATGAATATTTGCCTTCATAAACCGTTTTGAAATGAATATTAGTATACACAACTTCATATTACAGCTGTAGCTTTACGTTGTTGTTCTGACTCAAGGAAAGGGCTAAACCCTGCGATCAGTAAAATAGAGCCTGATACAAAATTCTAAGTGTATGCAAATGATGCAATATAAACAAATTCTTGTCCAAAATTGTTAAGAATTCGTAAAATATATTATAAAGTGCAAGTTTAATTAAGCTTTAACTCTCTGAGCCAAATCAGATAAAAAAAATAATTCACTTTTTAACATTGAGGCAGTTCCCTCAAACATTTCTTACAAATCCTTCAAAACTTAGAATTTATCTACGCAAAATTCCTACTGTGATCACAGAAACTTTGACAGTGTAAACCAGCTTTAACGGCAAAGGATCTTACGAAATCCCATGCATGGCAAAGTTTCAAAATGCAATAAGTCAACATACAGTACATCGGTCAACTTACGAGTTTCTTGGTGTAGTCAGGACAGGGTGACACTAAGGAACATCCACGAAGCTGAACCTCGCCTGCACATATTGTATCCTTGAAACAAAAGATATGAAAATAGACACTTTTGGCTTGTGCTAACCCGGTAATACTGTATTTATTGTAACGGGTCAGTATCATGCGGGTGCATGGTAAGGGGGGGGGGGAGTTCGGATAACGTTTCACGTGAAACGTGAAGATAAAACAGCAACACGAAAATTAAAATGCAGGTTTTTAACTGTGTCAATTTTATTTTCTATCTTGAGTGTTTATAATATCTTCTTAATGCCTATTTTTACGTTTTCGAAACTAATAAATTTCACCACTGGCACTAAAAGCTCAACCTTGAAAGGCATTTCTAAAACCAAACGATATATTTAGTAAAAATCAAGAATACATATTCATGCACGGTAAAATTGTGCACTTCTTACTACTCGTCCAGTCTTTGTTCTGCCGGCATGAAATAAATTCTCATTTTCCGGACAGAAATTAGCGGCAATGCAATCACGGATCACTGTCAGGCATGTAAATGACGTTTCACGACACAAAAATCCGTCATTTCACGACAACAAACGTTGGCTATCACGACTAACCACCCTCTAAGTGTCTAACATTTGTAGTTAATTTACATGTTACGGAATGCTTCTTTGCAACTTAAAATAGTACCCGGTAAAACAACAATTCGCCAAGACTACTCGAAGTTGCCACCAGGCTATAGGATTGTTTTTACATTGTCTGACTGCATGATAATTCAAAAGAATTAAACGGTTTTTATGAAAATAATTGAGCTGATGGTTACGAAACAATTAAGGGACAAAAAACGCAATGAGCTGATGGTCCTAGAATCAGATTTTGTTTCTTGCCATTGAATAAAAGTGCACGCAATAAATTGAATAAAATACAATAGAATGAGGTAGATAATCTTCGAATTAAGTCCTTCGAGTTAAGCCCTTTTCGAATTAAGCCGCGACCACGCCCAAACCACACCCATTTTCGTCAAGGGCTTAACTCGAAGAAAGAAACACAAGTTGGAAAGTTTGAGTTAAGCCTCGTGAAAAAAGGGGGACTTAACTCAAAGTCATTGAAAATATTTGACGCTCGAGTTAAGCCCCGACATTTAGGGCATGTAAAAAAGAGCAATGATTTGAGTCGTCCACAATCTAGCTGGAAATGAATCACAACCAACTCGTATAAACAGTCACGTTTCATTAAGTAACAGGTTATTTCTGAGACTGAGCTTATTACGAATAAATTGACCTCGCGGCTTTATTTCGCGTAACAGGTCAATTTATTCGTAATAAGCTCAGAGGTACAGTATAAATTAAAAGCTAGTCCAAAACAATCTGTTACTTAATGAAAATTGACTGTTTATACGAGTTGTTCGTGACTCATTTAGGCTGCAGCTTATTTAGGCCGAGACGTATGATAACTATTTCCAACTAGATTGTGGACGACTCAAATCATTGCTCTTTTACATGCCTCAGATGTTGGGGCTTAACTCGAGCGTCGAATATTTTCAATGACTTCGAGTTATGCGTGTGGTTTGGGCGTGGTCGAGGCTTAATTCTAAAAGGGCTTAACTCGACGATTACCTACTGTATCTCCTTAGATTTTAGAAGTGCTTACGTCACACAATTTTCAATCCATCAACACATTAGGTATACGCAATGCAATAATCAATTTGTGAGATCAGTTTTGCAAAATATTGTAGACTTGTAGTTCGTGTGTTGTAGAGCATAAACCTTCTGCTGATACAGTTTTCATCAATAATTTCCAAAATGGAATGGATTCCATATTTCATGTATGGAATCTTCCTTAATATATATTAACAAAAAGACATCAGCTGAGGAACTCAATTAAGAAAAAAAACTACGATTACAATTGTGGTATAGGGAAAACGTTGAAATAGGAGTTTTGAGTTTATTGAGTTTCTCACTCACTGGTGAGCAGAATTACCCAACAGGCTAGCTATTAATTGCCCAATTGATAGGGAATCCGAGATACTTACGATTTAATGTCCTTATCCGAGAAGATGTGAAAGTCTAACAATTTACTCTGATATCAATGTAAAGTTTAAGCCCTTTCTCCTCAATTATTTCAAGACCTTGAGTAGATGTTCAATCAAGGATTGAACCCGGGTTGAAAGGCAAGCATGGTGATCATGACACTACAAATGCTGGTTTGCTAGGATCGAATTATGAAACATTCACCCAGAAGCCTGACGAACAATGTTCGAGGGCCTCTAATTTATTAGCAGCTCACACTTACTGTCATGTGTTACCCTCAGTAAATAAAGTTAATGAAATTAACTCTTCTACATAATATTCTATTTGAAACATTAGTTTTCAGAATACATGCAGATTATGTTTTGTCTTACCTCTTTCTTCTTATAGTAACATAGAGCATCATCAAATAAAATAAACCATCTTGTTTTCCAGTTGTGACGTACATATCCCTACAGCATCAGACAAAAACATTTGAAATTTAATACAGAAACCATGCATGCACCTCAGTTCTCAGTGTACGAGCATGGAATATAAGTTTTCTGGGACAGGTGTAAAATATAGCAAACTGATCGCTAAAAGGACTTAAGAGCTAGTCTCCCAGCATGATTTTGTACTTTCAGTGTTTTATTAATAATTAAATAACATTATAATAAATAGCAGGTTGTGTTTCAAAAATATGTGACTCTGTGCTCAAAATTTCCAAATGAAAGGCAAAATGAATATAAATTTTGCAATTAATATAGCTAGTACAAAGAAATAAGCGGATGTTAGAGGCCTACAATACCACCAGTAATTTACCTCGCCATGAAGGCCCATGATAACTACCTTTCAGATGCATGAGAATTACAAACTGCTATTTGCATAATATGTTGATTAGGTTTCTTAACCCTCATGTTTCTATATTAAGTTTGTTTAATCTCAGTATTTATATTTGTATATATTCCTCTCAAGAAGTTGCGGGTCTATATCCAAGGAAACTCTGACATGACATATTGTTGGGGTGGTAGGCAAATCAGCCACCTTCATCGCTCTTGGATAATCCAACAATGAGAGTTTAACAAGAATATAACGTTTAATCATTTGTACAGACAGGTCTTCCTTCACTTGCAAACTCCATATTATAATTTGGAATATCTTGGACAAACAAGTGAACTTATAAAATGTGTCGAAGGGTGTCTCCCAAAATGCCTTCGGTTCTGCATGCAGTTATGCAGCGCGCATTACAGTCAGTGTTGTAAAAATTACTGAAAAAAGTAATGAGTAGAAATTACAATTACTAATTCTCCTAAAAAGTAATTGATTAGATTACAAATTACTTTAGTAGAAAAAGTAATTAATTACCAAGTACTAATTACTTTTCGAAAAGTAAATAATTTATCACCAATTACTTTCAAAATTACTTTTCATTTTACTTTTTGTATTTAAATCATTTCGCACAAAATTGGCGAGAAATTGAAAAAGACATAATACAGTATACTTAACCATATCAATACATGAAGTAATGGTGAAAGCTCAAGCTGCATATTTCACATATTGCAGGCTTATTTGATATTTCAATTTTGTATTTTGTAAACATCGTATTCGTAGTAGTTCACTAATTCTTAAGGCAGGTACTGTAGCCTAGAAAAACGTTTTACTACTTTTTAGATTATGTGCAATGAATGTTGTGAGAGATTGAAGTAAAATTGAAAAGTAATGTGACGTTATTGTAAGAAAATTTTACTTGTTACTTTCAATAAATGTAATTAGTATAGGTAATCATGTGATGTTGCTCGTACAATTAGGGATTAAAGGCGGTTTTCCAGTCCTCGCACAAAGCTCCTCGCAGTGCATCTAATTAAAATTAACTCTTAAGCATTGTGATTGGATGAAAGTGCTCATGCATCACTCGCAGCAAGCTGCGAGGAGCTTCGTGCGAGGACTGGAAATCCGCCTTAATAGTACTCGTGATGTTTGGAAATTTTGCCAAAATTGGATACGTACTTCTCAATCTCAATGTCAACATCATATTCTCTTGTCAAAGCCTAGCCTTAATTGGATCAAGTCGTATTCTCTCGCCAAAGCCTAGACTTCAGGACCTAGACTTGGATCGTATTCGCATCATATTCTCTCGCCAAAGAGTAGACTTGGATCTAGACTTGGATCAAGCCTAGACTTGGATCAAGATCCAAGTCTAGCCAAAGCCCAGTCCTGGCAGACTTTCAACCAAAATTTGATGCTTTTGTTTGTATTTTCATCTAGTTCCTCCACGGCAATTTCATTTCACATTTGTGTTTAAAATACCTTTCTGCCATTTTGTTTGTTTTGAGAAAATCATTAATTGTACTGCAGTACAATTATTGAATTGTACTGCAGTACAATTAATGAAATAATTGTACTCCTCTCAACCAATCAGCATCCAGTAATTTTGTCATGCTAATAATAAATTACATTATAAATTACTTCAGTAAAGAAAGTAATTAATTACCAACAAAATTACTCAAAATATAATTTGTAATTATAGTAATGCGTTACTATTGTAACAAGTATTTACAACACAGGCATTACTATATAATTAACTTGATGACAATTTTGCAACAATAGAACTGTAGAATAACTGAAGAAAATTACAAATTGCCTTCCCAAAAAATAACTAGATTACAGTTACTAAAAAAGTAAAATACAAAACAAGTGTATAACGTACTCCAAAAATCGATAACATTTTTATTTATTTCATTTTTATTCATTTTGATAAATAAAAATGTTATCGATTTTTGGAGTTACACTTAATTGTTTTGTATTTTATTAAAATACTCAGTGGTTCTAGAAATTTAAAAAAAAGTAAAGATTACATGAAACTAGTTACGTGTAATGATGTTACTCACAACGGGAAATGACAAAACGCGGACCCCAGGTCCATGGACTACCTTTGTGGACCTGGTCCATGGACTACACTCGTGGACCACGGACCACTCCCGTGGACCACTTGCGAAATTTCGCATACCGAACAATAGACCAAACACTATCATTCCAAGTTTAGGGAGCCGAGATTGGCGGGAACTATTTCATTATTCATTTCCATTATTTATTTCACAATCAATTCAGTTTTTGTTGATGAACAGTGAATAGTAATTAGTCTGTAAAAATGCTGAAAAAATGTAGTCAGGGTTCCATTAAAAAATATAGGAATACTGTGGAGAATCTGGAGGGGAGGGGTGGTCAAAGGATTTTACTGAATTATTCGAATTTTACTGTTAAAAAATCACTTGAACTGTAGAAGTCGTAAGTTGCAATGACCTTTCAATGCCTGAAGGTCCTCTCCCAAAAATATTAATTTTTGAAGCTCGATTACTGCTTTTCTTGCATTTCCTTTAGCGATCGAGAAAAAAAACTACCAATTTTAAGGGCATATATTCGGAAACTTTGCATTAAAGTCGTAATTGCACACTTATATTTTAGAACGGTCATGTAGTGAATGGATTTAGGACAGTGACTTCACATTTTGTGTAAAGTTTCCACAATGATAATAATGACTGAACTCGACTCGAGCACATTTTTACATGCACAGTCAAGAATTCAAGCCCCAAAAATCTGGTGTCTCGCAAGTGGTCCACGAGAGTGGTCCACGAAGGTAGTCCACGGACCAGGTCCACGAAGGTAGTCCACGGACCTGGGGTCCGTGTTTTGTCGTTTCCCACTCACAACACTGTAAGCATGCAATTAACTTACCAATGAACTAAATAACTATTTACTAATTAATTAATTAATTAATTAATTAATAATCACCTGCAGCTGCTATTCAGCTATTGTTAAACACTGCACTTGATACTTCCTAGTATGCACTTGTTTTGAGGGTCAACTATACGCTTTTCAAGGCTGAATAAGAATCAATACCCAACAGTTTGATTCATTTAAATTATGTCTATTATATATTATCATGACTGTATGATATTGATTATTAATTACCAAATAATTATTACCTTTTTGACCAGGAAACCTTCTTTCAGTTTCTTTCGATTCATGCCACTCTGGCCACAAACCACGGTCAAACGAAAGCAATATAAATAAATACAAGTACAGCTTATATGGATATATGAATATGCCCACTGAAATGTCCAGAAATGGTATAGTTTACTACAGTTTTGTGGCTAGTTCACTCAAGCCACGTACTGTCATACTGTTGATTTATTGTTGTCTTTGTTATTCAATTTACTCAGAAACGACGTTTCCCGAGATCATCTCGAACAAATAACGAGTGTTGCCGGAAATGTTTTACGGATACAACTGACAAAGGTTGAAAGAAAAGATCGAGATTTGGAGAAACTGCCGGAACAAAAGACTATTAAAAACAGATTATAGATAATTAGTTGGGTTGGAATTTTTTCAATTTCCTTCTTTATTCCTTGATGTCGGTCAGGAAATAATTAAATGAAATCTAGAAGATTGGCAAATATGGAAGCTTGCCATTGTCAATGTTCAAGAAAATTCACGAAAAGAATTCTAGTTACTGGAGGTGCAGGTTTTATGTAAGGAAGGTCATTATTTTATCCAAGTAACCCATTAAGTTGCATTGCGCCCTACTTTATTATTTAATATTAAAATTTGCTCACTATTTATATTTTGTAGTTTATAATTTTAATAATACTGTAGTTATATAAATTATCACAAGTTTATAAATTTGTTCTATGGTCTAGTGCTTCACATGTTGTGATAATGTTGGTGGAAAGATATCCTGATTATTTCATTGTCAACTTAGATAAGGTGAGAGATCATATCAATATTAATTTTATAAATAACCCTTCTACGTCGCTGCCTTCAACTTGCGGCTAGCCCAGGCACAGAATAGGAAGGTACAGCAGAAGTGCAACTTGAGTCGGTTCCTTTATTGTTTTATGTCCACGAAAATTTTAACTCGCTCACACCATCCTGGCTAGTAAAACCAGAAGTTTTTATCAGGTTTTGGTAGGTACAAAGTGCCGGTTCTACTAGCCAGGATGGTGTGATTGATGACAAATTGCTTGTAAAAACACGGACAAATACTTGCTTGAGTTACACTTCTGCTATACCTTCCTATTCTGTGGCCCAGGGTACGTACAAGGTTGATAACCCTTCTGGAAAGTTATGTCACTTTGGTCTTTGGCCATGTAGCTAGCTCACTTTCATGTATGCAACATTGCATCATTAGTTAAAGTACAACATTAGTTATTCATGAAAACGAGGCTCCGCAGCCAATGTGACATACTTTCTGGAAATATATGATGATGAAATATATGATGATTCATAATATTAATAACAATTATATACTTGATGTTTGTGATGTTTATACTCTGAGTGTATATCCACACTGGACGAGCTTGAAAAATATGCCCGACCACGGTGGGAATCGAACCTACGACCTTTAGAATGCTAGTCCAATGCTCTGCCAACTGAGCTACATGGTCAGTTCCTTCGAAGGAACTAGATTCTGTTCCGAAATATCACTTACTCGAACCGACCTGACCACGTAGCTCAGTTGGCAGCAGCGTTTCCATTTGGAAGGAAATTTCCTTCCAGAAGGAAATTTGGACCTTTGGAAGGAAATTTGGAAGGAAATAGCATTTGGAAGGAAATAGCATTTGGAAGGAAATTGGGAGGAAATATTGTTATAAGGAGGGAAATGAGAAGGAAATCTATTTTATCTCATAATTTCTAAGAATAAGGCAATTTTCATACAATTTTGTGCAAAAAGAGACTCTGAAAATGCCATTTCCAACGATCTAGAGACTCCATATTTTCAAAATTTTCCGCTCGGCGCCAACCATGGTGGCCAGCCTCGTGGGCCCCCCAAAGCAACATCTCACAGATGTTTTTTTTTCCAAAGTTGGTAACTATGTATCTATAGCCACAGAACCCCAGAATTGCTATGTTGAAATAACAACCAAACCTCAGACTCTACTTGGGGGGGTCTGCTTAGCGTGGCAGAGGGGAGAGACGCAAGAAACAGTTATGGAATCTCTTTTCGCACCCACAGCAAGTAGCCCCAATTATTATGCTCTTTGTCCCCCGCGGGGCGTTTATGAGCTGATTTTAACCGGCAAAATACAAAGTTATCCAGGGCATTTTTTAAGAATTCGTCAGTGGGGGGGCCATCTACAAAAAGGGACCATACTATACAGAGTGTGGAGCAATGATAGATGGTTTGTTGGTAACAAAACGTTTGGTGTGGTATCGCATTTAATAGTAGTGTGGGGGGGGCAGGGCCGTAGGAAGCTTCTTTCGTTTGGGGGCACTGAAAGCGAGGGCCGAAGGCCCGAGGAAATTTTTAAATTTAGAGTCTCTGAAATGCCATTTCCTGGACTTTGGGGAAGATTTGACAGATTTCTGATTGTCAAAAAACAGCGTTTTTAGTATCGGCAGGTACAAAACGCAGGTTGCAGGTTGGAATTTTGCAGGTTGGGAATTTTGCAGGTTGGAATTTTGCAGGTTGGGGATTTTGCAGGTTGGAATTTTGCAGGTTGGGGATTTTATAGGTTGGATTTTGCAGGTTGACAGGAATTTTGCAGGTTGATGATGCAAACTGAAAATTACACTACTATAAAGTATTCTAGTATAATTTTATGGTGTACTTATTGCAGTCTGACTCCTTGTCGCCGCTTTTGATATCAGCCTATCCTGCCGGCCATGTTTCTAGCCTCTGCTCATCACCCTTGTGAAAACATTCAAAATGACCAGATTGGCTTGGATCTTCAGGGGGACGAATGTTTCGATTGTTGCGAGGAGCCTACATGACGTGGTGGCAGTTCAGAAAATGCCTGAATGAGGTGTCTCTCCTCTGCACCCACTTATGAGATCACTCAAGCCCCCAATTACCGTATCTTTACTCAAGAGTTAGTTAACTTTTAACAATATTCTAGTACAAACGCCGCCACATCATGTAGGCACCTCGCAACAATCAAAACATTCGTCCAGGGGCGTGGGAAGCTTCTAAAAGTGGGGGGGGGGGCAGGCTTTGAGGGGCACTTTCCGAATAAAAAAGGGCATCTAAAAATTTTTTCCCGGAAATGTTGGCGACGTGGGGGAGGTCTCAAACATTTTTCCGGACATACCAAAAAAAATTTTTTCCGATATATCCAATTTTCCTAAATATGAAAAAAATTTTCCGGAAATACAAAAAAAATTTTCGGACATCATATTTTTGGCGGAAATGAAGAAAATAACATAAATTCAAGTTTCAAAAAGTGCACTTTGGGCAAGAAAAGGCAATCCTTGAAACATTTTTAACGCAAAAAAAGGGCACTTTGCTCCCGGAAAAAGGGCACGTGGCAAAACTTGGGGGCCTGGCCGCCCTGCCGCCCCCGGTTCCTACGCCCTTGCATTCGTCTCCCTGTAGGTCCAAGCACGGTCCAAGCCAATCTGGTCATTTTGAATGTTTTCACGGGGGTGATGGCCACTAGCTTTAGAGCAGAGGCGCCGACAAGGAGTCAGACTGCAATAAATGCACAACTAAATTATACTGGAATACTAAAAAAGTGGTGTAATTTTAAGTTTGTATTATCAACGTGCAAAGTTCCTGCCAACCTGCAAAATTCCAACCTGCAAAATCCCCAACCTGCAAAATTCCAACCTGCAAAATTCGCAACCTGCAAAATTCCAACCTGCAACCTGCAACCTGCGTTTTGTACCTGCCGTTTTTAGTATGTGGAAATTTAGAGTTCAGTAGTACTAAATGGGCGAAAGTGTATTTAATTAACGATATTTTGGATAAGTTGCAGGAAAGTATGGGTAATATCTTCATTCTTTGAAGTCTGTCATGGATTAAATGATAAAGGTCTGCATGATTTTGAAAAATG